AAAAAAAAAAAAAAAAAAAAAAAAGATTCAAGTGTACTGTCAGATATAAAAGGTTGAAAAACACTGGTAGATGGTGTGAGCCTAGCTGACGACAACCTCAAGCTCCTAGTTCAAGCAATCTTCCTGCCTCAGCCTCCAGAGTAGCTGGGACTACAGGCACCAGCCTTCTATTTTTAGTAGGGACAGTCTCACTCTTGCTGAGGCTGATCTCAAACTCTTGAGCTCAAGGGTTCTTCCTGCCTTGACCTCCCAGAGTGCTAGGAGTACAGGTGCCAGCCACCATGCCTAGCCATGCTCCTATATAGATTTGAAAGTTTCCTCTATTCCTGCTTGGGAAGGAGGTAGATGCTTACGCCCAAAAGACAATAGTATTTTTAGCACTGAAGCGAGGGCAGACTCCACAGTGAAGTTTACATGAAATTGGACCTTTTAAATCAGCCTTATCAGAATCATTTCTCCATGATTTCAGATACTGTAGTGACAGGTTCTGGTTCTGGGTCCTCTCTGAATAATGCTTTGTAATTTCAAAGTCTTATAAGGAGGAGAAGCCAGAATTTGTTATAAAGAACTCCTGAGATTTGATTCTAGGCTTTGCCTTATGTTCCCACTTATTTCAGGAAGAAATAAATCCATGCAAAATAAACCAAAAAGAAAAGCCTAAAGTGTTATTAGTGCCCCCAAAGACTTGGTCACCTCTGTGGGGAGGCCTGGACACTGGCCCACGGTGACATCTTACCCCGGAAGGAGGCCAACATGCACTGCAGGTAGGCGTGCCTCACTGCAGAGGTGGAGGTTTTAAGGCTGAAAGCTTTCTTGAACCATTCAGTGAGCTTCTTGGGCATTTCAGTAGTGAACCGGTTACACCAGAGAGCCAGGATAGAGACAGCATGTACCAAGGTCCCTTCATGAACTAGGGCAAAAAGCACAACTCCAGTTAATCTGATGTCTTATAACTATGTCAAATCACTGCAAGCAGTGTAAGACCCCAAGCCAGAGTACGGGAGGAAGCAGTAATATTTCAGACACTTCCCAGCCATGTTCTCTGAAAGGGATGTGCCTTCAGAAAGGCTTTATGGTTAAGGATGGACTCAGATGGCATGCTCACCATGCTGCACAAATTTACCTTCTTGCTGGAGGAACGGGATGAACAGCTCAGACACAGTCCCATTCAGGACTTGACTAGAAGGCCCAGACACCACGTGGTGACTGACACTCCCAATCCCTGAAAGACAGAATCCCTGTTTAGCCCCTCATCAGCATGAAAACACAAACAGGCAAGTATTCCTGCATCTGCCATCTCTGCATTCCTGGTCAGACCGCTTCTGGGTTCCCTATCAACCATGCCTCTCCTTTGGCCCTCCCTCAGTTTTCCCTCCACATGGCCTGCCTCCCACTAAACTTGATATTCAAGTCCCTCTTGCCAAGCATGTAAACAGAAGAGTCCCCAGGAGGCAGGCTAGAAAGCCTAAGATTGTCTAGAGTCAAGATCCAAAGGACTTGCTTATCTAAGAATTATCTTAAAGCTCATCTATAAGACCACACCTCTACCACCTGTGGAGAGATCCATACCTGAGAGGACACTGATCTTCTGGGCTACAATAGTTAGTTTTCCCTCCGAGCCTGAGAGAAGAGACAGGAAAGATTCAAATGCACATCTGCCACATTTTCCAAGGGATGAATAATGTAGTCATGTGTAAGACACCACAATGAGGTTTCTGATTTCAGAAGCAAACTGTCTACTGTGAAGCTAGGTTTAAAATAACATTTACTAGCCTTTTGTTTTCAAACTAAAAAAGTCATGTTCGAACAGAAAATTTGAGGAACAGGAAAAATATAAAGAAAAACATTTTTAAAAGCACCCAAAGGGCTCAGCACCTTGTAGTTCAGTGTCTAGGGCACCAGCCATATATACCGGAGATGGCGGGTTCGAATCCAGCCTGGGCTTGCCAAACAACAATGACAAGTACAACTAAAAAATAGTCGGGCATTATGACAGGCACCTGTAGTCCCAGCTACTTGGGAGGCTAAGGCAAGAGAATCAATTAAGCCCAAGAGTTTGAGGTTGCTGTGAGCTGTGATGCCACCGCACTCTGCCAAAGGTGACACAGTGAGACTCTGTCTCAAAGAAAAAAAAAGCAAAAAACAGGTGGCAGGACACAGTGGCTCACATCTGTAAATCCTAGCACTCTGGGAAGCCAAGGTGGGTGGACTGCTTGAGCTCATGAGTTCAAGACCAGCCTACGCAAAAGCGAGACCCCCATCTCTACTAAAAAGTAGAAAAACTGAGGCAAGAAGACCACTTGAGCCCAAGTTGGAGGTGAACTATGACACTACAGCACTCTATCCAGGGTGACAGCTTGAAAGTCTATCTCAAAAAAAAAAAGTACCCATAGGCTGGGTTCAGTGGCCCATACCTTTACTCCTGGCACTCTGGGAAGCTGAGGCAAGTGAACTACTTGAACTGAGGAGTTTGAGACTAGCCTGAATAAAAGTAGAGACTCTATCTCTACTAAAAATAGAAAAAAATAGCTGGGCATGGTAGCACACACCTGTAGTTCCAGGTACTTCTGAGGCTGAGGCAAAAGGATCTCTTGAGCCTAAGAGTCTGAGGTTATGAGCAATGATGACACCATGCCTCTCTAGCCTGGGCAACAGAGTAAGTCTCCAAAAAAAGCACCCATGATGTTTCCACTACTCAAAGACATTATTAAACTACGTGTGGTAGTGCAGCGGTTCTCAACCTGTGGGTCATGACCCACAGGAACTATATTAAAGGCTCACAGCATTAGGAAGGTTGAGAACCACTGCTGTAGTCCCAGCTACTCATCGCTTGAGTGCAGGAGTTCAGTGTAGACTGGACAACATAGCAAGCCCCCATCTCTATGAAAAAATAAAAAAATAAGGCTGGGCACAGTGGCTCACACCTGTAATCCTAGCACTCTGGGAGGCCAAGGTGGGAGGATCATTTGAGCTCACAAGTTCAAGACCGGTCTGAGAGAGAGTGAAACCTGTCTCTAAAAAAGCCGGGCATTGGGGTGGGCTCCTGCAGTCCCAGCTACTTGGGAGGCTAAGGCAAAAAGATTCCTTGAGCCCTAGAGTTTGAAGTTGCTGTGAGTTATGATGCCACAGCACTCTATCAAGGGCAATAAAGTGAGACTCTGTCTCCAAAAAGTAAATTAATTTCTATGAAAGATATTATTAACATTCTGATATATTTTAGTTTTTCCTGCTATGTATACAATGACAGTTCACATCATACATTCACATTCCAGAGTAGGCATCCTCCTGGCTTTGCCACAGCAGACATAGAATGTCAAGTCTCTGCCAGATCCCAGAGTCCAGGGACCACACTTCAGCTATACCCACGGCCAAGAAAGGTTTACTCACCTCCAAGGATGGCAAACAAGTGCTTGGTTAGAGCTTCCATGGCCGAAGAGTCACTGCACTGGCGGGCCAGGTTCCGCAGTGCCAGCACAGCTTCGTCCATCAGGCGGGGACTGTTGGATTTCAGCTGACCTGGATACACAGAGTTGCTCAGAGGCTGCTGACAACTAGCATCCAGACTTTCATCCTTGCCAGTTCTATGTTTCCAACTTTTCAATGCTACTTAACCTGTTCTCATTATAAATGATCTCAAGAAAGAAACTGCCAATGCAGTTTAGTTTAGAGCCTTTTTTCTAATCTGAGCTGCCCCCTGCTCCCTTTACTCCAGTAACTGGGACAAGTACAACCAAAACCCAAGGTGCATCTAGAGGCTAGAATACTTACTGGCCAGTCCTTTCACGATGTCCAGGGCATATTGGCTGAGATCAAGAGTCACTGATGCCAGCAGACTTGAAATAGCTAAGGGGACACAAAGCAATGATCACTACACTCAGGAATACATTCAGAGAATACTTTTCCTCTACTTCCCAGCAAACGCTACCAGGCCTACTATCTGGCCACATGGAACCGTGACCATCCTGTATCTAAGGACGTCCCTAAGCTCTGCTGAAAAACTGTATACTGCCTACCCCAATCAGTAAAAAATAGCTCATTCAATGTTCCACCAACACACTTTATCAAGATAAGAAGGGACAAGAAAGGTGCAGTGGCTTACACCTGTAATCCTAGTACTTTGAGTGGCCGAGGTGGGAGCACTGCTTGACTCTGGGAGTTTGAGACCAACCTGAGTGAGACCCCATCCAAAAATAAAAAGATTAACCAGATACGGTGTTTTTGTTTGTTTTTTAAGACAGTCTCATTTTGTCACCCTCAGTAGAATGCCATGGCGTTAAAGCTCACAGCAACCTCAAACTCTCAGGCTCAAGTGATTCTCTTGCCTCAGCCTCCAGAGTAGCTGGGACCACAGGTACCATCACAACACCCCGCTACATTTAGAGACCAGGTCTTACTCTCACTCAGGCTGCTCTTAAACTCCTGAGCTCAAACAATCCACCCTCCTCGGCTTCCCAGAGTGCTAGGATTACAGGCATGAACCACCAAAGTCCCAGCTACTTGGGAAACTGAGGCAGGAGGATCACTTGAGCCTGGGAGCAGTAAACCATGACAACACTACTGCATTCTAACCTGGGCAACAGAGTAAGACCTTGTCTCTCAAAAAAAAAAAAACCAAAAAAAAAAGTACAGATACTCAACCTTCACACCCTATAGTTTCAAGTGTTACCTCTATATTCACTAAGTCCCATGTATAGAAGAGGGTCTTGACCTGAATGATCTCCAGAACATTCCTTTTTTTTTGGAGATAGAGTCTCACTCTATTGCCTGGGCTAGAAGCTAGAGGGTAATAGCTTCAGCCTCGCTCACAGCAATCTCAAACTCCTGGGCTCCAGCTATCTTCCGACCTGGGCCTCCCAGAGCGCTAGAATTATCGATGTGAGCCACCTCACCTGGCCTCTAGAACATTCTTGAACCCCTAAAATTATAGCAGTATTGTAAGTGGATATCCTTTTGTGCATTCTTCTTCTTCTTTTTTTTTTTGGTAGAGAGAGAGTCTTACTTTATTGCCCTTGGTAGAGTGCCGTGGCATCACAGCTCACAACAACCTCCAACTCCTGGGCTTAGGTGATTCTCTTGCCTCAATCTCCCGAGTAGCTGAGACTATAAAGAGCCCGCCACAACACCCGGCTGTTTTTTTGTTGCAGTTTGGCCAGGGCTGGGTTCAAACCCACCACCCTGGGTATATGAAGCCGGCGCCCTATCCACTGAGCCACGGGCACCGCCCTTGTGTATTCTTCTAACAAGAGGGTCCATGACTTTCAATATCTTCTCCAAAGAATCTTTAACCCTCTCCCAAGGTCCAGGCACGGTAAGCAGTGAATATATCCTCCCCACCACCACCACCACACACCCACACATTCATACTTTCTAATACCAAGTATCAGGAATAGACCTTATCGGGCAACTCGTGTCCCTCCCATCATCTTGTCTGACAGCAACCTACTTTCAATAACATTCTCTGGACTCCGCAGTAAAGACTTCTGTATGGTGGGCAGTATGAGATCCTTAAATTCCGCGTGGGACATGTATCGGAGCAAAGGGGCACAGCTATCCTACAAAAAGAAGTCAGGCACCTAGTCCTCATGGAAACATACCAAGAAGGACGGACAGTTCAGAATCCCAGAATTTAAAATGGGATTTAGCTTGTCCAAGTAAATAAGGGCCACTTCTCACTCACCAATAAGTACTTCTGAGGTTTTACTTTGCTCATCAGGATGTTCTTCATATAAAAATCCAGCAGGGCACTCTAGTGAACACAAAGATCTAGTTACACCCTGACATTCTATAGTGCACTGGCCTAAGAGGTACCTATTATGGGAGTGCTTCTAGAAAATATACAAACCAATGTCCAAATTTCACAGTATTAAACAGAGATCCTACTGATCATGCCACACTCTTTATGAACCTTCCATGATTTTCCATGGCCCCTGGCATAAATAGCAAAGTCCCTGACATGGCTTGTAAGGCCTGCACCCAGCCAACTACACCTCACCCTCTCTAACCTACCCATGCCAGCAGAACCCACTCGCCTCTCCTGTATTCCTGTCCACAGGATGTGTTCTCCTCCTAAAATGCTCTGCCTTACCTCTCGACCTTGCTAACTCCTCTTCAACCTCAAAGTTCCTTCATTAGGCAGATATGTTCCCTGATCCATGGTCTCAGTCAGGTTCCCCTGGTGCAGAATCACAGCTTCTTACACCTTTCCTCTGTGGCACTAGCCACATTATAACTAACTACATGACTGTCTTGTGTTAGGTGCCTTCTCAGACTCAGTTCCACAGGGCAGGTCATCGCTCTCTAGCCCGCTGGTGCATGCCCAACACCTAGCACAGCACTCAGAACATGGTAGCTGCTCAATTGGGGTAAATTAAGGACCACATGTGCAAGCAAACTATCACCCCAATAACTAAGCCAGGATTCACCCTAAGCCTGAACTGGAGAGGAAATATCCCACCTCTGTCATACCTCATAAGCAAAAGGCAAGAATCTTGTGTGGGAAAACCAAGTTTCAGATGAGATTAGCCACTGGGGCTACCAGGGCAAAGGAGATACCTAATCCTTTCCAGTAAGCCTCTAGGGTGGAAAGCACATGGCCACCCACACTGGCACTTGCCTTGTGCCGATTGACCACGTCCATCTCCTTGTGGCTCGTGCAGAACTGCACTAGCAGGCCCAGCATGCCGGCATAGTTCTGGTTGGGTTCTAGGCTGAGAATGGCTGACAAGTACTGCTCCACCAGCCCGGAGTTCTGAAGAGGAAAGTGTCAAGCAGGTGGATCAGATGGAAGTTGAAGAATAGCATAGAAAAAGTCACACCTACCAGCCCCATGCATCCTGTCACCTCTTTCCACAGCTTCGTGAGTTTCTTCACAGCACCATCCACAGCGTGCTTGTGGGAGCCACCCAGCACCTCCAGAAGGAGCAGACACTGCACCTCTACCTGCCAGGACCAGGAAAGCTCAGGTCAGGATGGAACATGGGAGCAGAGGTCCCAAGGCCTGAACAACCTGTCCAAGACCTCTCTGGCCCTCCAGATCCTGATTTCATTTCCACTCAGCCGCTGCCACTCAACTCCAGCCAGAATCTCTTTCCTCCACACCCCCCACACTTAGTCCTATCCTTTAATGACACTGTTCACACAAATGTTCATTTAACAAATATTTACTAAACACCTACTATGATTCAGACGATGAAACCACAGGGGAATAAGACAGACACATTCCCTGCTTTCATGCATCTCACAGTCCAATGGGAAAAAAATAAACATAAACATACAAATGAATTCTATATATAATTTTTTTTTTTTTTTAGAGATAGAGTCTCAATTTTGTTGCCCTCAATAGAGTGCAGTGGCATCACAGCTCACAGCAACCTCCAACTCCTGGACTTAGGTGATTCTCTTGCCTTAGCCTCCTGACTAGCGGGGAATACAGGTACCCGCCACAATGCCCGGCTATTTTTTTGTTGCTGTTTGGCTGGGGCCGGGTTCTAACCCGTCACCCTTGATATATGGGGCCAGCGCTCTACTCACTGAGTCACAGGTATCACCCTATATATAATTTCAATAAGGAAGTGCCATGCTGGAAAAGAACCGGGGTCCAGTTCCATTTACTTCTTATCTATCTGCCTTAACTTGTCCTTCATTAAACCCACAAATACTTACTGAACACTGACTAAATGGCAGGCACTATCACTAGGCATTATCACCACAGATACAGAAATGAAGCTCAATATGCATGGGGAATACTGTCCAACCCAGTGAGAAGCACATAACAGTTGCTCAACTACAAACAGCCCAGCGGCTTTACATGCCACAAATCCCCAAAGTCTTTGGTAAGCAGTGTGAACTGTTACCCTAAGAAAGATATGCTTGTGAAGGCAATGCTGCTGAATTCCATTTACACGTGTACAAATGGCGTATGTACAAGGTTATTCACTGTGGCACTGTTTGTAACAATAAAAAATTATAAACAACATAAACAGCCATCAACAGAAGATAAGGTATACATAGTATGGTACATCTAAAAGACTAGTAAATACTCATAAAGAATGAGAACCTCTTTATTTACTACTGCAGCACACATTCCCAGACTGCTTGAAAAATAAAACAGGTAAAGAAGAAAGTATGTATAGTACACTGTCATTACGTATTAAAAAACTATCTGATCAGCTGGGCATGGTGGCTCACACCTATAGTCCTAGCACTTTGGGAGGCCAATGTGGGAGGATCATTTGAACTCAAGATTTTGAGACCAGCCTGAGCAATAGACCCTGTCCCTATAAAAAAATTTAAAAGATTAGCTGGGTGGGGTAGCAGGCAGGCACCTGTAGTTCCAGCTACTCAAGAGACTGAGGCAGGAAGATCACTTGAGCCCAAGAGTTTGTGGTTAGTGAGTTATGATGATTGCCACTGCACTTTAGCCAGAGTGACAGAGCAAGATTTTCTAGTTTATTATTGTTTTTTTTTTTTTTTTTGAGACAGACTCTCATTTTGTGGCCCTAGGTAGAGTGCCATGGCATCACAGTTCACAGCGACCTCAAACTCTTGGGCTCAGGTGATTCTGTGATTCTCTTGCCTCAGCCTCCCAAGTAGCTAGGACTACATACAGGTGCCCACCACAATGCCTGGGTATTTTTAGAGATGGGGTCTCGCTCTTGCTCAGGTTGGTCTAGAACCCATGAGCTCAGGCAATCCACACACCTCGGCCTCACGGAGTGCTAGGATTGCAGGCGTGAGCCACCACACCCAGCCTAAGATTCTGTCTTAAAAATAAATAAATAAAATAAACAAGGCCAGGCGTGGTGGCTCACACATGTAATCCTACACTCTGGGAGGCTGAGGTGGTGGACTGCCTGAGCTCACAAGTTCAAGACCATCCTAAGCAAAAGTGAGACTCTGTCTCTAAAAAACAGCCAGGCATCATGGCGGGTGCCTGTAGTCCCAGCAGCTCAGAAGGCTGAGGCAAGAGGACTGCTTAAGCCCAAGAGTTTGAGGTTGCTGTTAGCTATGACGCCATGGCACTCTACTGAGGGTGACAAAGTAAGACTCTGTTTCCCAAAAAAAATAATAACAAACAATAAAAAGTAATTGAACATGATTATGTTGCATTCATACCCCAAACACCAAAGTCATGGCACAGTTCAGAGTTCTGGTCACCTAACTCCCAGAAGAGCACTTCGAATTAAGATACTTGCTAACTTTTTGGAGGCCGGGGGGGGGGG